CTGCCTGTGATCTTTTAATATCAAAAGCACGGTGAGAATTAACGAACATTAAATCGCAGCATAAGTACACAACACGTCTTACCACTTTAGTAGAATCTCCATTGAATCTAGCAGAATAAACTTTTCCGACATGACCAGTTAAAGTGAGCTGAAAATGTAAATCCGAATTTAGCAAAAAGTATTTCTTACAGGGATGGGATTTTTACATGAAAAGCGATATAAATATAAATAAATGAAGTTTACTAACCCTTATCCGACCAGTTTTTAAGTGCCATAATCTTGCAGCATTGTCATTTGAAGCGCCAGCGACCATTTCGTTTGTATTATTGAAAGATACATGCATGACGGATTGTATCGACCCCGATAGCGTCTGTTTCACCTGACCTAAACATAATAAACATCAATACGTACTCGATAACAACGAGTCAAATCACAAAGTTGATATCAATACCTGTTGTAGAATCAAAAATTTTAATAGTTTTGTCAGCACTGCCCGTGGCATACATAGTTCCATCATAAGATGATACAATTGAATGTATCTCGCCATCATGTGGTGTCTAATGAAATAAAAGAAACTTCGTTTATATTTGAATTGCATAAAACACAACAAGAAGTAAATATTTACAAATTTTTTCGTTAATGTTGTCGGTATTATCACGGGACCATAGTTTTTTCCTCGTGTTCTATTAAAAGAAATATTGTAGGTTAACAAAATTGTTCTTTGTATAATACAAACTGTCGCGTCTCGATTTTCACCAGAGTATAATTTAACTTGGATTTAAACTAAGATTTCTTTGCAACAGAAATAATTTATTAAAGTATAGAAAATTATGAATTAAATTATATAAAATGTTGTGATCAAATAAGAACTTTTAAAGAATCCAACTCGTTATATTACAACAGCTTATTTAAAATAAAAACCGAGGTTGCTCAAGTTTAAAATTTACGCAGGTGAAAATCATGGACAATATGACAAGGTAAATTGAGATAAGATATTTATACCACCTTATAGCACCAGTGCCAGCTTCCGGAAATGTGATGGATTTTGGTACATTGTTCATCGGAGTAAATTCTTTGTCAACAATGACCACCCCGCTTTGAAATTCTAAAGCTTTAGCATGAACCTCCAAAGCACTAGACAAATAAATATAATTAGTATCGTCGTATTATAAAGCTAAAATTTTATATATTTTCTTGACAAACCTCTCATAAAATTGATTTGCCTCATTCATTTTCTCGGCTTCTTCGTTCATCTTTCTCAACCAACGTTGTAAAAGTTGACCATTTTCTCTTTCTAAGTCTCTCATACGCTCGTCAATTTTCCCTATTTCTAATTGCAATGTTGCTAACTCATCTTGCAACAACTGATTTTATTTAAAATTTAAAGAATCATTAACCTGTTTTGAATAATGTATAAAATTATCATCAAAGTTTACCTGTATTGTAATATCTTTTTCACGAAGAACTTGAACTTGAAGATCCACCTTGGCAGTTAACGCTTGATTTGAATCTGTCAACCTTTGAACTCTGAGAATAAAGTGTTCAACTTAATAATAGTATAAAACATTAAGGGTGAAAAAATTTAACATACTCCTCTTGATTCCTCTTTTCCGTTTCCTCATGTACTCGTAAACTATCATTTAAATCTAATAAACGTTGAGCATTCTTTCCTTGCGTTTTATACAATTCTGTACGTTCTTCTTTGAGAGCTTGTATTTGCTGTTCCAACTCTGCAGTTTTCTTTTGATTTAATGGACTCCTACCAAAGATAAATGAATCAAGAATATATGTTCATATAAGTAATTTATATTTAAAAATGATGGAAAGAAATAAACAAAAAGGAAAGATCAAATACCCTTGTTCTCTTAAGATCTCTACCTCTCGTGATAAATTTGAATGCTTTTCTGTTGCAGACTTTTCTGATTGTTCCAATTCAGCATTCCTGTCCGCGAATTTCCCTAGTTTCTGAACGAGAGAATTGTCTAGATATTCGAAATTGATAATAATTTAATTCATTAAAGTTACATCTATCAAATTTTATCATTCTATTATAAATGGAAGTTGGAATTCAGATATGAGAAATATGCAACAATGGATGCAATGGATGCAAATTTGACTAGGATTACTTGTATTTTTGGCTAATAACTTCACTGGGATCAAGTTAACACGAAAAAAAAATCGATCCATTTTATTCTTTCTTTACGTGAACTTATCTAAGCACAGCAGTAACATATTTCTTTCATTCACTACGCAGTGACGTTTTCTACTTAAAGAACTTACAAGACTCAACAAAATCAGTAAATGCTTTTTCTCGTCTATCTCTCACTAACAATTTGACAAGTAGATCGCCTTGCCAGTTCCCAGCGGGAATGTTGCTGTTAGTTGATGTTCCTGCAGGTGAAAAAGTTGACATGTTTTATTAAAAATGAAATTGCGATAATGAAATGATTTCCCGTTTTAATAATTTTTGTGATCACATGATCGGTATGTCGTGTAACTTACGATTTTTACAGTTTTTTTACATTATTAATAATCTCACTCGCTCGTAAATGAATTACCTAGCACGATATATAAAATAAACTAAATAATAACAATTAAAAAAAATCAAATATAATTCCCATACGGATTGAATATAATTGAAAATTTTTATTCGCCCACGACCAAAACCAAATAAACATCAAAAGTTATATAGTTTTTTTTTAAAAAAAAAAAAAAAAATAAAAAAAAAAAATAAGAATTGTACAAGATAAAATGTGTGTGAATGTATAATGTTGACTCTCCCGCAATGAACGTCCAGTAAATAATATAAAAATCATTAATAAAAGGTGAGAAGTAACAAGCAATAATACAAATAATAAAATAAAGCAAAAAGATTTGTTTGATTATACTCGTAGCAAACTATTTTAAAAATTTGATGGTATATATATATATATAATAGTTCAATGAAAAAAATAAAAGCATGGAATTTTTTGCAGTTTTTAATTTAAAACAACCCTTTGGAGCCCTCCCAATCACTTAATTTAAATTGCCCAAGGATAATGAAGCATAAACGCCTTCCTATTCCTTTAGCTAAAGGCTACAAAGAATTCCATCCTACATTTTATCATAGCATTTTAACACGCACAAGCATCGTATTTGGAATTATCATTATCAATCTTAATTGCCTCTGGGAATTCATTATAGCTGCTTTGCGGTGAAAAAAAAAAATTAGATAAGAAAATTTGAAATTTGCAAAGTATATAATCCTTATGATGCATACAAATCTGGATCAGCCTCCTGTTGTAAAGCATTTTTCGCAATAGTTTGGAATGCATTTTCAACGTTGATTGCTTCTTTAGCACTTGTTTCAAAATAAGGAATGTTGCCTTTGGATTGACACCAAGTCATGGCCCGTTTTTGAGACACCTAATGATTCATAAAAGACCGTTATTAAATCTAAAGAATCACAATATAATGGCCGTCAAGTAAGTTAATCATACAAATAAATTCTAGCAGAAAAATACCACTCTCTTTGATTCTTCCATATCGATTTTGTTACCCAAGACAACAAATGGAAAATTTTCAGGATCTCGTGGAGAAGCTTGGATTAAGAATTCATCTCTCCAACTATCCAACGTTTCAAAACTCTTGGAATTATTAACATCATACACAAGAACGCAACAATCAGCTCCACGGTAAAAGGCAACTCCCAGGGATTGAAAACGTTCTTGTCCAGCGGTATCCCAAATCTATATAAAATAAAAGATTGTAAGTTATTAATCCAACACTTTTATAGGCTATTAAATAAATAAAAGATAATCATATCCGAACCTGCATCGTTACAAGGCGGTCGTCAACCATTACTTCTTTAGTTAAGAAATCAGCGCCGATAGTAGCTTTATATTGGTTGCTGAATTTTTTATTGACATATTGATTCATTAATGATGTCTTTCCAACACTATAAATAAAAGAACATTATATATTAATACTGTGAAGCCTTTTATTTAATGGTCGACGTCCAGTTCAGATCTTATTTTCAATGTAAAATACTAGTTTATATAAATTTAGACGTTTATTAAACATGAAATAACAATTTGTTATTTCAACCTCTTTTAATCAGTTTAGTTGCTTAACCGACGTACCCGCTATCACCTAAGATAATAACCTTTAAAAAAAAAAATTTAAAGAGCAAAAAAAAATTAATAATCAGTAATAAATAGACAATAAAAACAGGGATTGTCACTAAAGTAGATCGTTGTGACAAGAAACTTACTTTCAAAAGAACTTTCTTACGAGAAGCCATTTGTAATTATTGGTTGAGTTTCTTCAATTAAGTGCTCGGAACAGGAAAAAAAAAAAAAAAATACGATAAATATTTATTTATTCTTTGTTAAAGTTTTTTACAGTATCCACGTTATATGTAAGTACATACAGAACACGCAGAAATCGGAACTTAAAAGAAAAAAAGATAGACAGGGATAAATGGATAAATATAGGAGGGGGAGAGGGTTAACTGATTGATCTATGTTAGGGGTACGGCTGAATTACTTGTGAAACTGGGCGAGGAATTTTCGCCCTTTTCCTTGAAAACCGCAATCAAGGGGTCAATGACATCAGAATACAGACGAAATCATATTGTATAAGAAAAAACATGTTTTTTCCACGCCCTTGCACAGAAATAGATGATCATTTGGTCACAACATATAGCTAAATTAAACATCATAATTTTTTTTAAAATATGTAGTCGGATTTGCATCTCATCTTTATTAAGTAAGGTTTATTATTAGATTATTAATTTAATGGATTTCGTTATCTCCACCATAGATGCTGATTATTTACTAGATGTAAAGATTTTTTTTTGATTTTGTTGATTATATTTTTTTTTTTTTGTAAAACATAAATCGATCAATATTCAAAAAAAAAAGATAAATCAAAAGATCTCACGATTCTTTTCGAATAAGAAAAGGACCAAATAAATATACTAATTATTAAAAGTCAAATCTTGATTTTACTCAAAAGGTTTAATCTATCCTTTGATGAACTTTTGGTTCCCAAGAGAGGATTTTAGGACCTGTTGTACTATAGGTCTTAAAAGCCTTACGGGTTCCTGTAAAATTCTCGGTAAAAGGGGAGAGGTACTTTGGACGTGGTGGAGGATCGATAGTAGGAGGATCCTCTGTAATCTTATGAATCCAGCTATGCCTATTCAATAGATTTAATATTAGGAAACAGGATAACTCGAATATCGTTATAAACTAAAGACGATTCAAATATCTACCATTCAGGAGGAATTTGACTAGCATCACCATAGTGTTTGGTATAATCTACCCATCGATCTCGACCTTAGTTAATTGAAATTAAAGAAATTTAAAAATGAGCACAATGAGATTATTATAAATAAAATTATGGGTAAGAATTTACTGGCCTAACCCTCGCTCAACAAACTAAAGTAAGCCGAATTTACACGATCGTTCTCTAACACGCGATCATCCTAAGATGTAAAAAAAAAAAAAAGGTACCAAAAATCTCCTCTAAATTTTCATAATATTTGTTTCCAAATTGATCTATTCCGACAAGAGTTCCAGCTCTAGTATCACCAATATACAACATTTGTCTCAAGTAATCTCTAGGGCCTATTTTGAGAAAATTCTTAAAAGTTCGAGTGAGAGAAGACATGTTTGTTTAATATATCGTTCAGGATGAAACAATGCCAAAAAGGTCATCACATGTATTTATACTAAAAATAGTAATTATATTATAAATTCTCATGGAGAACTTTTGATTGGCTATTAATTTTTCAAAGCCACCATAGTATTGTGGTTCCGTCACCCGTTTCTGTCGAAGTTTTTATAACCAAATAACATCAAACATGGTTTTTACAGAACGACAACGTTATACTGTCGGCATCATAGTATTACTTTGTGTGGTACTGATTTGGGTCGGTTCTTCGTTTTTAATGAACGTAAGTTTCGTTTGGAAACCTTTAAAAATTGAAATATATATTTATATATATATATTTTAATTAACTGTATTCATATTAACTTAATTTCAGAATATGTTTGGAGAACAAGATTATAATAAACCATTCGCCATTACATATGTAAATACAGCTTCCTTTACATTTTATTTATTATACTTTCTTTGTAATAAGAAGCGTCCTATAGATAAACAAAGGTATTGACTCTTTTTTTGAATTTTTTGAATTAATAAATAGTTATTAATATTACGTATTGATTCTTATAATAGAATAATTGAATTTAACAACGCGTTGTATGATGCTATATCACGTTCTTCATTTGATTCAACAAGTGAAGCTTCATCGAATTCAAATGATGGTATGAATGTAAGTTACTTTTAACCCTCTTTGATGTTTGACATATTCCTTTATTTATTTACTCTTCGTCGTTTTGATAAATAGGATTTCCAAGAAAATATTACATTACAACCCGAGGATCACTCTATGTACTCATCATCTCTTGAATTAGGGTTAATTAATGACAATAATTCTTCTTTTATCCGATCACATCATGAAACATCAGATAATCATCCTCATATCGACCCTCATGATGTACTTTCGTCCATGCGCGATGATGAAAAACTGTCAACTCGACAGGTTTGATAAACTAATATTTTTGATTTTACAATTATTTACTCATGGATATTCAAGGTTTTTGTTATTTATAGATTGCCAAGTTAGGATTTACCTTTTGTATGTTATGGTTTGCAGGTATTTCAAATTTCTTTTTTTTTTTTAGAAAATAAGTTACTTTGGGTGGATTCTAATTTCTTATATCACACTTAGCCAATTGGAGTACCAATGCATCCCTTGCGTATACATCTGTCGCAAGTAGCACAATTTTATCTTCAACTTCAGGTTTGTATTTGTTATTAAAATATTTAATGGTTAGATTTATTTATAAATCCCTTTAATATTTCAACTTTCTTCCATAGGTTTTTTCACTTTAGTTATTGGATCTTTGGTTAGAGTTGAAAAGTTTTCATTCCTTAAATTTGTAGCAGTTGTAATAAGGTAAAACCTTTATGTAATTAATCTAGTTAAATTCTTTTTAAATATTCTCATTTTTTTTATTTTTTTTTCAATTTTAACTTTTTCTTTTTTTTCATTTAAGCTTCGTTGGTGTTTACTTGATCTCAAATGAAGATACATTCGATAAACCTAATGATAGTCTACATACTTCTACTAATTCATTGTTTGGTGACTTTCTTGCTCTAATTGGAGCTTTCTTTTATGGATGTTACACTATTTTATTGAAATTACGTATTCAAAACGAATCTCATGTTAATATGCCTTTGTTCTTTGGATTTGTTGGGATTTTCAATGTGATTTTGCTATGGCCATTATTTTGGTTGTTGCATTTTACTGGGTTAGAGCAATTTCAACTTCCACCAAATAATACCATATGGATAATGGTTGCAATAAATGCATTGATAGGGACTTTCTTATCTGACTATCTCTGGCTTATTGCCGTTTTGATGACGTCGCCGCTAATTGTTACGCTTGGGTTGAGTTTGACGATACCTTTGGCATTGCTTGGTGATATATTTTTCAAAGGACTTTTCATGAGCACAGGGTATTGTTTTGGAGTTATTATGGTGACTAGTGGATTTATTGGTGTAAATTTTTTGGAGATTAAAGAAAAATCTAATGATCGAAAGCCCGAGATATATTTAGATAATGAAGGAAATTCTGTTCGTATTTTATCGTAATTATGTTCTATTGTAATTATTTTTGGACATTCGAAAAGAAGTCATTTTCTTTTCTTTTCTTTTTTTGTATTACTTTCTTATAGTAAGTAAGTTTATTTGTTAAATTCATAGAGTACAATAGATTCAATAAAAATATTTATATATTAACTGTAAAATATTCAAGTATATATATATATATACATTAATTGAATATACGAAAAATTTGTGTGAGATGTAATATAATTCATATAATAATACCAAAAAATGATCCAGTTAGTATTTTCCAAATATAATTTTCCTAAGTAACCTTTCTCCTTTTGAATGGTACACGTTTATGTTCTTTTGAAGCATTCTTTTTCCTACGTTTTTCTATTACTTTTTCTAATACTTTAGGATCCGACTTTTGTAATTTATCAAACTTATCAAGAAGTTCAAGATTTTTCTCATCAGCTAATAAAAATATGTTTGTAAAGAAAACGTTTTATTAAAAAAAAAAATGTATATATATATTAGTTGAGATTAAAACATAAACAATGCTTACATTTCTTATAATAATATGGATTCTTCCCTTGGGCAACAAGTTCCGATTCATTCTTTTTTCTTTCACGTTTTAACTCTTTTTTACGTTTAAGATTATGTTCGTGAGAAATTTTTGATTTCTAATAAAAATGAAAAAATGAAATTAAAAGTCTTAATAAAAACATTTTATACAATTAGGAAATTGTAACCTACTAATTTATTTAATAATAGTTGTAATTTAGATTTCTCCTTGATATCACTTTCTTTTTTCATTTGATTGGTTACGAGTTCAATTTCCGATTTTTTATAATCATCTAAAAATGAATATGATTTTTCAAATAAATCTTCATTAAACTTTCCTGATAAACTATCAAATCTAGGATCTCTTCTAAGTTTGACCTAATCGTTTCATGAATAAATAATTTTATAAATAAATGGATCGTTTGGAAAGTTTTTAGAAAAGATTATATAATTATTTACAGATTTAGAAACCTCCACTATTTGTCTAAACCTACTAACAGGTTTTTTTGAAGTTACTTCCATTGGCCTAAATAATTGTAAAATCATCAAATTTTAATGGAAGTGTTTCGATTAATTTTTTTATTTTTTTTATTTTTTTTTTTTACATACGCATGTTTATTTCTTCGTTTTTTCTGATCTTTTGTATTTATTTCTTCTTCTTCTGAACTTGTTACTTCTGTATCCTCTCCTGTATCCTCTGTTTCCTCTTCTGTATCCTCCTCTGTTTCCTCCTGCAAACTTTCATTTTCTTCTTCCTCGACAGAAGAGACCTCGTCATTTTCAATAGGACTAATACTTTTACGTATTGGTTCTTTTACTTTCTTACCTTTTTTCATTTCTATATCTTAAAAGTTGAATAAATTATTCAAAACAATTTTGGGATAGAAATAGAGTTTATGGAATGCTAACGGTCGATCACAAATTTTATCTATTTTTAGGGATTCCGTTTGAAATTCAAAAAACATTTGACCTTGAAAATACGAAATATAATGATTTTGAATTTTGCTTGATACTTTAACGTTATTATAACGTATAATAATTTTTTGGGGGGGAACAAACGAGTTTTCTTTCAATCTTATTTATGAAAAAAATTTTGTTTATTCGTACGTTTTGCACTCCCCTGGGTTTTCAAATTGATGATGAGTATGATGAGTTTAAGACGGTGATATTATTTTCAAATCCCGAAGAAACAACCAAGTCACGTGATAAATACGTGAAATATGTAACGTTCTATGCGATTTATGCACACGCCAACGAAACAAGAGTATTTAGGTTAAGACGAGATTTGATTTTATTTTATTTTATTTTTTTTAATACAAGATTTCTAATTGAATTAAAAAATTTTTAATTCCGGAAGAGTCGTATATGCATTATCAATCTCCTGCTAGGGAATCCTTTCCTAAATAATTTTGATCGGTTAAAATTAAGTAGATCGTCCGCATATCAAAATTTTTTAGGTTTTTTTTTTTTTTTCAACTTTAATAAAATTTAGTTTATATTTTAATATAGGTAATAAAAATAATAAAATTTATAAATTTATACAATATCTCATTTCTCATTGGGTATAGGCTAAAAATTCTTTAGTTCTAATAAATTTAGGAATAGAATCGGTAGCCACCAAACTGAAAATAACATGTTGAATCTCATCATATAAATGACTGGTTATAGGATTTTGTTGAGGTGGTTGATCCGAAGCAGTAGATTTCGGCCGCTTATCATTATGTCCCGAGGCAATTGAAGTCATATATCGAGTCATCGATTGTCTTAAATTGAAATCGATATTAAGTTCATTAAGAGAAGCGGGAGCTAAATAAGTATTATAAATTTTAAAAGCATCGGAAATTAAATAAAATTGTTCTTTGGGATCTCTACATTCTCCATCTTCGTTAACATCGGCATTATATCTAATTTTAAATTTTTGAACGTCTAATAAAAATAATAAATTTTCTTCACATAATGTAGATTTTAAAAAGTTCATAAATAGTGAACATAAATTTGAGTCATCTAAAATTTGTTGAAGTTTTTTGGTATTTGATTCTTTAATCACTTGATTATTCTCAATTAATGAACTTCTTTGTGATTTACTACCATCATTTAATTGTGGTGATAAATATACTCCTGAATCTTTCTTTGCTAGTAGATGTTCATCCCATAAAGCGAGTTGTCGACCTTCCTCCGTGATGTTGTAATACGTGGATTTTGAATATTTAAATAATGAACGATCTCGCCTTTTTGTACTTTTTTTTGTATCATTCACTTTACTATTAATAGGTTCTAAAAAACCTAGACGAATGAATTCGGTCGCAACTTTCATCGCCTCCTCTTTTGAGATTAAGGTTGTAAACTCACATAACCAGTCACAAACGTTCGTTCCGGAAAATGTAAAATGATACCATTTATTATTAATATAACGTTCTTTAACTTCAATACCAAGATTACGATCAACCGAAAAGATGTTATGGTCATTTAATGAAACTGTTTCATTTGGAATTTTAAAGTTCGGTCTTGGACCGGCAAACCTTCTAAAAACCGATTCAACATTTTGTTTTGATAAATTAATGGAATCGGTTTCGGGATCTCTTTCCAAGGCGAATAATCTGATTTGAATTGATTGTGAAGAAAAGATTTTTGCCAAATGAGGGGCTGTTATACCATTTCTTGATACAAATCTTTCTAATATGTATGTCCCTTTTTGGGTAAGACCATAAACACCTTTATCCCTAAATATTCTATTATTAGAATCAGTTAAATTTTCAAATAACCTTGCATCCTGAAATGTTTGACATATTGATTTTGCCATATCTTTTACCATGCTAAATGTGGTGGTGGTGGTGGTGGTAATGATCCTTGTTGGATTATTCGGATCTTGATTACGATTTGATTGTGTAAATTTTAATGATCCTAAATTCGCTATGGTTTCTTCCGTTGTAAATGAGTTTGCATAACTTTTAAACAAATTTCGATGCGTTTCCATCGGTAATGAGATTATTAAAGTTGAAAACAAGTCATGTATATCCTAACAAATAAATGAAAAAATTTTTTTTATCTTATTAAGATTTTATTGTGTAGGTAATTTTTATTGTTTCAATACATGAAAATCATACCTTGACAAAGGGTCGACCTGACCTCGTCGTTTGCATCATTTGAGTTGACTGTTGCTGAACTGGAGCCTGATAGGATAGCATCTTTATGTGTGATAAGTATTATAAAGAATGAATTTGGTAAAAGATAAAGAACAAATGCAAAAGGAAGAAAGAAAATTTGTTAAAAAGAATGAAAAAAATGAAGGAAAAAAGAAATGATATATTTTGGAAAAGTTGAGCCATTAAGAAATTTATTTGTGTAATTTCTTTTTAAGGAATTGTCAGACATTAAACTTTTCCCTTTTAGGTAAATATCAATTATCATATTGCAATATTGCAATCATGCGACATTTATTTTATCCGAATATGCTATGTTAAAAGTTACATGTAAGTTATTATTATGTCGGATAAATTGTTTTTTTTTAAAAGAATCGAGAATATGACGTGTGTTGAAAATTCAGATATGTCATGTCGAACGAAACAAAAAAAAATTTCATTTTCTTTTTTATTTCGAATTCTTCATTGGAATGAATTTTTTTTTTTACCATGAAAACTTGGCAAAATCACACGAATAAACAACAAAGTAATGGCGCATATGTTGATACCCAATGATTTTTGTGAATTTCATTCTAATTTTAGTTTTCTATAAAAAGAAGACAAACCAATCAAAACGAGATGCTCCTTAATACCAGCATTGCCATGTGCATCATTAATTAACTTTAAAGAGAACATTATATATTGTTTGTTTACTTACTGTGTATATCTGTCTCCATGATAATATATTTCCTTCTTAACCTACGATCATTCTTCAAAACGTTCTGAATCTAGTTTAAATTGGAATAAAATGAGGTAAAAGGTGGATTTTGATTAGGCAAGATTAAAGATACATCTTTATAAATGAAAAAGAAAAAGACAGTTATGCTGGGTTGGTCATCGTAATTGGATTATGATACGCGTGGCTTTCGTACGTATCAATTTTATTTATCGAATTTTCAACTTGCGAAATACTTTCAGTCAAAAAGTTACAACAAAAAACAAACACTTAGGTTCCTCCTCAGAAATTGGCATTATCTAGCCATAAAAAAATAAAAAATATTTATTTAATTTAGCAATTCAAATTAGTGCATTAGTTTTGATTTTGTTTGCGTTCATTTTACATTGAAACAATTATAATTCACAGCAGACAAATAAATTAATTTTCCTCTAAATGTTCAGATTATTTGATATTTTGTAACAAACAATCTTGGTTACGGTCACGTGATATCGTAATTAATTTATTGAAAAATGTTTCTTTTAAATATAGCATTTTTTTTAAAAATTGATTATCCTATTCAACTAATAAACTTTTTATTTTACAAGAATATAATAACCGTTACTTAAAATTATTTCACGGGGTGCATAAACTATATAAATTTGTTATGGTCATAAAGATAGCTAATTATCATTATTTTTATGCAATTTATCTTGTATACATTTCGAAACTTCTTATTTATATAACAATATAAGTTTTGATTATCTGTTATTATTTTGATTTACGCCAAACTTAGTTACTCGTTCAACTAATTATTATTTGAATTCATCCAACTCAATATTATTACATTTAGAATCACCACTATCATTTTAATTTTCTTGCGTGTAGAAATTACTAATTTCATTTTCCGTACAAAATGATCTGTCCAATCAATCAGAATCAAAACATGGACACGAATATTAAAAATATTCTTTATAGAAAATGATCGTAAACATTTTATTTCATAAAGAAAAATGCGAAATTATTTCAAAAACTAATTTATTAATACACAGTGTTTTGCAGTTCATTCTTTTCTTTTACATTTGTGTGGATGAAATTACCATGAAAAACGTTTACTTGCAAATTTTCTATATAAAGGAAAGGATGGTCAAGGTACCGAAGGAGAATTTTCTATTGAATTTTGCGTTAAAGCAATAGAAGTTGAGAATGTGGATTTAGTTAAAGCGAGGCAATGGTTAATATCAAATGTATCTAGAAATTAATTTTATAATAATATATTAAATTTCAAATCATTTTAGCAAAGAAATTATTAATTTAATAACTATCTAGTGGAAAACATATTTACAATTCATGTTATATTTGCGATTTAACTGATATCGGCACACCCCAGCCCATGCTATACTGGGGTAAATCTATCTAAAATGTCATCACGTGAGATCAGAATACGCGATATTTATATTTCTTTTTTTCTTTTTCGCGCTTCACGTTGTACTTAGTTTCTCGTCTAACTAATTGCTTCTCGATTGCCGTAACGCCTTAAAAGAGTGATGGTTTTGGACATATTTTTAGATTTTAATAGTTTTGGACAAGGCTTTGGACATAAGAAAAAGTGTCCAATTGCCCAACACTGCCTTAAAATATCCTGGTAAACAAATGTACCCCGCTTTCTTTTATTATCATAATATTGAAATATAGTATAACCTGTTTTATGAATATAGCTTTCTGAGATGTGGAAAACCCCTCGCTTATAAAATCTTTAAAATTCCGATTACGCTAAGGTAATTTGAGCAGTGATGTGCACTTGAAGATTGGAAACATCCTTGGAAGCACTTTCGGAAGGGTTGAAGGCATAATTCTTTAATAAATTCATTTGGATTGGAAGCTTCCAATCAAATTTTATACTATTGGAAGCATATTTAGTGAGGAAAAAGCACATCGACAAGTAAGTTGTCTGATATATTCGAAAATCTTAATGACCTTTTTGTTTGACAACACCTAACAATAATTTGGATGTAATCCGAGAAGGGCAAACTAAACGATCTGAAGGGTTGACTTGACACTTAATCGCATCCATTCTTGGTATACTGAAAGGCACTTGTTGGGTGAGACGAATGTTGAGGATTCGGAAACAGCAATCGGAAATGTTCACGGGGAACGTACTCTTAATGTTACTTCAATGACAGAAGACGAAACCACAAATTCCAAAAGGACCAAGGTTACTTTTGATATGGGAGGATTTCAGGTTCCGAGAAAAATTTTGACTATAATTAAGAACTTAATGCATTTGAAACTAATAACATCAAAAACTAAAATGCAATACAAATCTCAATTTTGTTAAAAAATTCTCCGGAACCTGATTTTCCTAGCAATCAACCCATATGTCGTTTGACGAGTATGTTGATGTCGCTAGTATCATTACTGAAACCTTTCGCGGTAACGATGCTGCGGCTCATACCAAGTAAGCTATTTTTACCACTCATCCGTTTGCTTTCTGCTTAATGTTTAATTATTTTTACTTTGTTATATCTATCTTGGTGGGGAATTTTAGATTTTCGAGAGGAAGGTGTTCATCCAAGTCCAAATCTCCCCCGAGCGAAGAAATTCCTCCCCGAGATGAATGGGCATCAGAGGATCTGCCAATCAAAGATACTGATGTTGGCGAGGTGATCCTTCTATGTAGGCAATTTTAATTTATAAAGTATGTGTTTTCATCATCATCATTATTGTTGTTGCTATTTCCTTATTTTTGCTTCACAAACCATTAATGCTTGTAGTGTCTTGTAGATAATGCTGGGCGAGCTATCAATTTAGTTGCTCTAATATCTACCATTATTTACAACTTAACGCGTTTTTTCACAAAAATATTTTCAAAATGAATAACAACGATCCAATTATTATTATCGATAATGATTCTGAAGAACAGTGCAATTGGAACAATTACGAACTCCGAAAAAGTGATGGGATATATGTATGCAGCACTTACATTACACAGTAACATTCAATCTAATATTGTAATAGTAGTTATAGTATCAGCATATAAACTTTTTGATTGACCGGTTTTAATATTACATTAAAATGCTATATAGGCACCTACATCAGTGTTGGATTTTGGACACATTTTTTGATTTTAAATATTTTGGACAAGGTTTTGGACAGATAAATGTGCCCAAAACTGTCCAACTGATCTACATAACAGTTAAATGCAATCAATAAAGCTGATGATTTAAAACATGAAATGTGCACGTGGTTTTTTTATCGGAGTTAATTCCCAGATACATCGTGGTCATGATTATTTTTTCTCGCATAAGGCATTAAACTGACTATTAATTAGAATTACAAAAGCCACAAGTATCATTGTTCGAAATGGCACCTTGGAATAATAAAATGATACAAATACTTCATTGATGATATGAAAATACTAATTATTTAAGAAAATCTATTGAATAACGCGATAAATCTCTTTCAATAATGATAATAAATAAGTTTTCAATTCTTACATTTTCACGGACCTAAAAAATGATGTACAGTAGTAGCCCAAGAAAGTATTCGCGATTTTGTAATTTTATAGTAAATTAAGTTTAAATTCAATTAAACAATTAATTAAACACCTTTAACAAGTTTTTAAAGCTTTATTATCAATTTATATATTTACTTTATTCAATAAGAACATAAAAATATGTTTTAATATTTCGTATGTCCACCTTTACTTCAATTACCATTCCAACCCACTTGGGCATACTATTAATCAAATTAGATAAAGTATTAGATTCCAATTTGCCCCACTCTTCTTTTAAGGATATTTTTAACTGTTGTACTGTTTTTGGCAATGGTTTACGTTGTTGAATTCTATCTTTTAGAATTTTCAAAGATTTTCTATTGGATTGAGATCTGGTGATTGGGCTGGCCAAGGCATCGATCTAATCCTATTCTTTCCTTTCCATTCACGAGTTTTATTACTAGTATGAATTTTGGCATTATCATCTTGAAAGATGAGAGTAGTGTCAAATTCAATTTCTATAGCAGCTTTAAATTCCTTAAGATGATCATTAAGAATTTTTATATAGTCATTAGAATTCATACGTCCTTCTTCACAAATTACTAATAATCCCAATCTATTACTTATGAAACAATCCCAAATCATAACAGATTACGTTGTGACGGGTAAAATTTTAGATAGATTTAATTGGTAGGATAGGAAGTCAATTTTATTGCCATGTAGATCTTCTATGAAGATCATTTTGTCCATTTTATTGCCGTCGATCAATTAT